AGCCAAAGATTTAAGTGAAAAATTAGAGTTTTCAGAGGAGTTGCCAATGGTTTGTTCCGAAATTATATTTCCCATAGACTTTTACACTAGGAGTTAAAAAAAATGGAAAACTGTTAAATTAAAACTAAATAAAACTATATTAAATTTGATGTCCCATCTTCTTGGAATATGTTTTACATATGTTTCTAGACAATTGACAATGAAAAATACGAATCTGTTTTATAGTCTCAGAATTAAATTTTCATCTGTTAGAGTGGGCTAACTTTTTAATTATTCTTTTTTAAGATAACGTGTCAGAGGAAGAAAATAAATAGAACAACATGTAAAAAGTACAAAACATATACAAAAATGTGATAGAAATAGATTGATAACAACTATAAAAAAGATTCCAGGTGATCCATGTTGCAAGTATAGAATAACTTTAAGCAGAAAAATTTTTACTTCAAATCTTGCTTTTATTAAATATGCTCAGTACATGTTTCGAGAGAAACTTCTCATCTTCAGCTGAATATAAAGCTAAATATATAAAGATTGGATACAATATTAATATACATTACTAAACAATTTTAAAAATAAAAAAACTTACGTCATAATTAACTATATAAAACCTATGTAGAATGTGAAAAAATTCATAATACTAGTCGATTAACTACAAAAAACGAATTAAAATCGATTACGAATAAAAACTTATTAAAATATTAAAAACTTACTAAAAATATTTCTATTTAAAAAAACATATTTCTATATATACAGGGTGATTCAAAAAACCGCTGACAGACTTCTAAAGTAGATAATACATGAAAAATTAAGATGAATAGTCTTAATATACATGGGGTCGCAAATGCCTTGTTGGTGTGATATAGCGGATCAAAGTTTCTTTAAAATTATACATTATCTGCAATAAAAAGCACTTTTTTTAAAATATTATCTACGCCATTGCTCTCTACGCGTGTAAAGTGATTAATTATCTATCAATTGGTCTCTTACGAACTTTGATCAAAGCAATAGTTAAAAAAAAAACACGTTTGTAGAAAATTTGTTAATTCAATCAAAAACTGTTGCTTTAATCACAGTTTTGTAAGAGACCAATTGATAGACTGTATTTTTATATACAGTGTGTCCCCGGATTGTGTCTCCGTAAGGTATAATTGACGATAAATTTTTGAATTCAAATTCCATCTTTTGCAATTAAAGTCTGGATGTCATAAAACGAAATATAACCAAGTTTTACGTCAAATGTCCTCACAGTACCAAAGTTAACGCAAGAAGTTTGTTAACTGTTGTAGGTCAACTGGTCTTTCTGAGCAATGTACAACAAAAAATGATTAAGATAAAATGTTTAGTATGTTAAATTATAGCGATATGCCGAATTTTATTAATTTAGCATATAAAAGAAAAAATGAGCTTTTTCTTGAAATTTTTTTCTAATATTCCGTTTTACAATAAAAACAAATGATCTGAGTGAACTAACAATTATCTTTTGATAGCTTAACTTTAGCCTATTGTCAAATATTAATTGATCATGTTTACATTATAACATAAAATATTTATAGTGCAGTGCTATGGATTGGGGAACATTAGTTACAATGCAGTTTTAAGGCAATTTGAGGAAAAATTTGGATTTTTTGTAGATAAAAAAACAATTAAGGGAGTTGTTAAAAAATTTTCGGACACGGGCAATGTGGAAAATAAAAGGAAGGAAAAAAGCTTTTAGATGAACATGATCCGGGGTCGATTGTTGCAGTAACGAACGCAATGGATTGCGGTAAGGTGTCATTAAGAAAAAGGGCAGTTCAAGTCGGTATAAGTAAATCCCATTTACAAAGAATTTATCCAGAAAATAAAATATTGCCGGATAAACCAAAATTTAACCACACTATCGAATTAGGTGATGAAGCAAAACGTTTAGATTATTGTTATTGGCTTGGGTACAAAATTTTGAAAGACAGAACTTTTTTAAAAAACATCGTTCACCATTAATGGAGTGGTTACATCACAAAATTGTCGATTCTGGTCGAAGACTAATCCACATTATCGCATAGCTTGTAAACGCCAGTATTCCCAGAAAGTGGTGTGCTATTTCGTGGGACGGTGTTGTTGGACCTTACTTCATAAACGGCAATTTGAATCAACACCGATATTTGGAAATACTAGAAAATTGTTTATTTAATTATCTTCACGGCGTGGATTTAGAAAAACGCAATAAATTATATTTTCAACTAGATGGTTGCGGCCCACATTCGACCATTTTAATTAGAAATTGTTTAAATACGTTATTTGAAAAAAAATGGATTGGTAGATATGGTCCGCAACCATGGCCGCCAAGAAGTCCGGATTCATTTATTATGGATTTTTATTTTTGGGGTTATGTAAAACAAAAAGTGTACACTGAAAATTTTAAGAACAATTTAGACCGTTTAAAACAAAAAATTGAAACTGTTATTAGAAAAATTCCGTTGGACCATATTAGAAAAAGTTATAAACAATGTCAGAAAAGAACTGAATTATGTGTTAGTGTTGGTGGTGGTACCATTGAATAAGCTTTATTCTTATCTATTATTTTCTTATGTTAATTTAGATTATTTGTTATCGAAACTGTTTTCTTAATCTTATGATTTAAAAATCTGCATTTTGCTTTTTAATCCTAAATTAATAAAATTCGGCATATCGCTATAATTTAACATAACAAACATTTTATCTTAATCAACTTTTGTTGTACATTGCTTAGAAAGACCACTTTACCTGCAACGGTTAACAAATTTCTTGCGTTAACTTTGGTACTGTGAGGACATTTCACGTAAAACTTGGTTATATTTCGTTTTATGACATCCAGACTTTAATTGCAAAAGATGGAATTTGAATTCAAAAATTTATCGTCAATTATACCTTACGGGGACACAATCCGGGGACACACTGTAGAATAAATTTTTTTATTTTTTGATATATTTTATTTTTATATTTCTAATAGAAATATTTTTTTTTTTTTAAATAGAAATATTTTTAGTAAGTTTTTAATATTTTAATAAGTTTTTATTCGTAATCGATTTTAATTCTTTTTTTGTAGTTAATCGACTAGTATTATGAATGTTTTCACATTCTACATAGGTTTTATAATAGTTATTTACATTACAAGTGGGCTAGAAACATAATTACAGTACGAGTGTCGAGAATTGCACGACGAGGTCGTAGACCGAGTCGTGTAATCACACGAGTATATCACACGGTTATATCCTATCCTCAGGAAAAGACGATGTTACCAATCTTCTTTCGATCGCTGATAAAGTTTGGAACGCCATAGCTCACACTCCTTCCATTTCTTCTCAAATTCCCTATTAGCCAAATCCAATAAGAAAAACCATCACTTCTACACTCCCCACGCACCCTCAAAACAAAATTAATTTTGACACACTACTGACAAAAATGAACGATTTGACACTGACATGTCAATCATTGCTAAAAACCGTAGAAACGCAACAACAAACAAACTTCGATAAACACAAACTTTTAGAAAAACAAATAAATTATTTAACATCACAAATACAAACAAATAATACATCACATACAGGACACTGTGGTTGTTGTAGAATTCGGCAATATTCTCGAGAACGACAACGTTCTGTGTCGAGAGATCGTTCTCGAGATCGGCCGCGTACCCGATATAAAAATAATGAAGTATGCTGGTACCACAACAAGTATGGTGCAAAAGCATATAAATGCAAACAACCATGCATTTTTAATCAATCAGTTGCCAATAACTCTTCAAATTCATTCATTTCACCAAAAAACGAATAGATGATTCAAAGAAGAAAAATAAACATCCTTTTTCAAAATTCCAAATTACGACTGAAGCTTCGTCACCCCAAATTTCGACAAATATTTTTAATCCAAGGTTATTTATTTTTGATAATCAAAACAATTTGAATTTTTTGATTGATACTTGATTGATATTTCAGTTTTACCGCACAAATTATTCCCCCAGCACAAACAAGATACTGACTCCAATCTTAGTGCTGCGAACGGTACTAAAATAAAACGTATGGTAAGAAAATGATAACGGTATCACCCAACCTTAGAAGAGATCATCCATTCATTTTTACCGTGGCCAACGTTAGTAAGCCAATAATTGGTGCCGATTTCTTAACTAGATTCGGTATCTTAGTTGATGTTAAGAATAAGAAATTAATCGATAAGGAAACAAAAATTTTCTCTATTGGTTCTTGTATCAAAAGCGACGTTCCATCACCCAAAATTTTCGGTCTTTTCGAATTCGTTCGCATGCCTTTTGGCCTTCGAAATGCAGCGTAAACATGCCAAAGGTTCATCAATGAANTCTGATTTTTTGAACTTGATTTTTTTGTCTGCTGGAGCAGATTTTTCTAGAAAAATTCGAATAACTCGAGAACGGCCGAATCAAATTGCAAAAAGTAAACTTATATATATATGTAAAAATATACAGGGTGTTCCATTTAGAAAAATAAAGTAGGTAGCGACTTCCGGTATAACCGGAAGTGCAAGAAATCTGAAAATATTTTAGTCGAAGAGATCGTAATTGATAATACTTAAGTCTGAATTCTCAAATTTTTATTTTCGCCAGAACCCCAGAAACGTCTAATGACCGGTCTCGCTGAGACACCCTGTATAATTAAAAATGTAAAAATGAGGGATTTTTGTTTTTGCGTTGAGTTGGGTTGGCTCAACTGTTCGATAAACGATAAATTTGAGTTGGATCTGTTTTCTAGATTAATTAGGAACATTTTTAATACAAAAAGATATCTCCACCTCCTTTAATTTCCGATATACAGGTGTCCGGAAATGACGTGTACAACGGATGGCCTCGAGTACCTTGATTAAAAAATATGATCATTTTACTCAACTTATCTATATACAACATTTTTCAGTATTGTCGAATTTGGGACACCTGTACAGTACGCTTCACCGACCTTGGGAGGAAACGATATCAATGAAGAATTGGATCCATCGGAATGATTAAAAAATAAAAAAAGGATATTAATATTGCCTTTATTTATTTGTAATTCGTTACATAAGCAGATATTCTATATACTACTAATTATTATAAAGATAAGCGTTACATATTTTAGTGTTTACCACGAAATAAATGTTGGTATAAAAGAAAAATTAAACGAAATACATCGGCAACTCTCTACTTATATTCTCCTTAACCATCTTTTTTTGTTGCAGCTCCTCCAATTTATCGATATCGATGACTTGCTCAGTTTCAATGTAAGCCTTAGCGCGAGCAGCAGCCAAATGAGCGTAATAAGTCGGTGCGGGATAACTAACAGAGCGATTACACCGAGCGTATAAATGGCACAAATAAAAAGTTAATTCTTGAATTTCATCTTCGGACATATCGGCATCATCCCAAAGCGGTACATATTTTGTCGGTCTCGCAACTCCCCGAATACTAGCGTGACTAACTAGATAAAAATCGTAGAAAGTCGGGCGAGTAATCATCTTATCAACGCAAGTTCCCACCGGTACATTTCCATTTTTATCCTCGGAATCTTGTGGATTTTTCGGAAATAATCGGGTATGGTGGCGCTTTTGCACCACAAAAAACGTTATTTTCGGTTTATAATTAACGTTTAGTTTAGAGCAAGCACTCCGAATTGCTCCCAATTCGCTGGAGAGTACTTCTCGAAATTGTCCATCTGAAACTCCATCTCTATAGAATACGATACGTTGTGGAAAACGATTAGTAATGCGGTTAAAAAATTTCAATTGCTCCATAACAATCGTTTCTAAATCTTTAATAATTTCTAATTTAGGTTCTTGTAAACGAGAACTAAAAATATATTTGAACGCGTTTCTATCGTACGAACAAGTTACGGCCGCCACGCTTGGTATATTTTGAGAATCTGGACTCGGATGGGTTACATCAGCCCCCATTATTACGATTGGTTCCTCGAGAATACTTGGTCGAAAATAATTACTTAAGACGTGATTAACTCCTTTTAGTTTTGCGTTAATTTTCAATACGATGTTGTCGGTGGTTGATTGAGAGTGTCCTCTACGATCGATATTTTGCAATAACTTTTTCAAAGTTGTGCTTTTGATGCATTGTGTTAAAGTACCAACGGTTATTTCCGCCGCTTGTTTTACACAGGAATAAGCCATCTTTGTATCAGGTATAATCACTACGGTTAAATCGTATTTGTTGTTTTCTAAATAATCGACGAGTTTTTGTTTGGTTTTCTCGGGTTTAAAACGATCTTCTATTATTAGAAAATTCCCTTTGGTTCTTGTTGCAGCTGGAAATTTTACACCATATTTTTTACCGCTTTGAATTATCTGGAATTGAATGAATACAAAATTAATATTAGTTCTTATTAATTAATTAATGGGTTTAAGTGTTTTGCATGGTTCAGGAGTTAAACTCAGAATTAATGCGAGAATACAAGCAAACTATTCGGGGTGAAATAGTGCATAAACGGTGTGCTATGTACATATGTATCGTCGTACAAGTATGTAAATATAATCGGTCGAACAAGGTAGCACTTGGAATAAACAGAGGTTTTGGAATACAAAATATGCCGAGAAAAAACAAGTTAAAGATGAACATTGAAATTATCGCATTGATTAAATTAAAAGTAGAACTAATAGTAGCACTATCACTAGAACCAACACTAGACCTAGAATTCACGGCATCTTTGACTGGTCCTGTGGTAGTATAGTCGTAGGTTGACTGGTGGTGGATAGTCTTCGCCAGAAACTCATTCCGGAGGATTTGTCGAAGGATGCATTCCCAGGACTGGTGTAGTACTGTCTATCATCGACATATTTTAGCTGGAAAGGAGAATTCTACGAACAATGCGAAGGGGATCAAAAAATTTTTACATGAGATGTTTGACGAGGAAGCGTTAAAGAAGAGTCCGTGGAAACCGAAGACACTTTACGACGATGACACTTTCGTGATCTGGCAACACGGAAAAGAGCGATTCCAGAAATATCTAAACCACCTAAACTTACAGCAACCCATGATAAAATTTACCATGGAAACGGAAACTGCAAAACAGTTACCATTCTTGGATGTGTTGGTCACTAGGAAGACAGGTGGGGGCATGGAACTGGGAGTATATCGAAAGAAGACGCATACGAATAGATACCTGCAGGCGCGGAGCATTTCGACAAAGGAGGACACACCATGGAGTTCGACAAAACTAAAGTGCTAGCAAGAACCGGACTTCCAAAGAATGGCGAGGGAGGCGATAGAGTTTCATCGACATGGGAACAACATGAATAGTGAAGACGGCTGGGACCTCAGTCGCACATGGAAGATGCACTAGCATCTCAACCTTCTCCACCAAAACTACTTAGTTGACAATTAGACAGTAATTAGTTATTATCTTTTTACGTATTTATTGTTCAAATTTTTACCGATTTCGTCACAGGGCATCCGAAACATCAAACACTTTGTCAAAAGATAGTGCTACTATTAGTTTTAGGTTAATAGACATATTAAATAGTGTACATCACATTTTTGGTGACCACGAAAAATGTGATGCGTATTATTGCACAGGTCACACCAGGAGAAAAAAATTTAGTCCATGATATGGCTGAATACTGTGTTTTTCAAGACTCATGTTCAAGAGTCATGTTTACATAGATTAGAATATTTTGCCTACAGCCTCATCCTCAATATGACAGATAATTCTGCCGTATCATACAATTCTGTTGTATGTTAATTTATTGGTAGCAAAAGAATTGATTTTGGTTTGGGAAAATCGTATGAAATGAGGTGTGAAGCTGCTGGCATATCATACAGTAGTACCGCAAATTATTACGAGGTCTTACACAATGCCTTGAATAAAAAAACTTCCAGTGTTACGAAAAAATATATTTCGAACAAGAAGAGAATAATAAACAGACGGAAAAAGAGCCTACAAATCCTGCAATTACAGACATGTCAGAGGAAAAGTTTTCTGATGAATGTATAAAATTTATAAATTCTTTAAAAAAACTGCTGAAGAAATTTCTATTGTTAAAATATCCACCAGAAGGCAAACCCTTCGTGGCTAGAAGAATGTCGAAAACGGTTGACAGCGTCAAATTTCGGCAAAATTGTCAAAATGCGCCAGAGTACGTCATATATAAAGACCATAAAAGCTCTTTTGTAGAGCACAACCATTGAATCAAAACCAATTCATTCTGAGGCCATCGCAAAAAAAAAGCAAAGTTTTGCAGTAAAACTGGATTCGTTGTTGAAGAGTGTGGTTTGTTTATAGGTAAGCTGCTGACAACCTACAATAATATAGTTATATGTAATATTTTGTTTAAATAAGGACGAGTAGTATTTTTTGGCTGCTAGTCCTGGCGGTCTTGTTGGCAATGATGCCATAATTAAAATAAAGTGTGCTTATAGTGAAAGGGATATGACGGTGGAGGAGGCTATACAGGTGTCCCGTATCTTCCGCAGNGCCAGAAGCTTTTCCGCTGAAAGATATCACATCTTCTACTATAGCAAACACACTCTTCCGGCATTATTTTAGTCGATTTGGTATACCTACCACAATAACACATAATCAGGGACGGCAATTCGAATCAAACCTCATTATATTAGATTCTGCTGAAGATGACAGGTTTCTCTCGAAACATGTACTGAGCATATTTAACAAAAGCAAGTTTTGAAGTAAAAATTTTTGTTTAAACTATTAGAAAGGTATATGTTTGCATATTTTTTGCATATTTTGAATAAAAAGCTTGCATATTTCCTATAATTTGACTGCATAGAAATCCGAGCTCTAGTTATCACCTATTATACAGGGTGTCTCAGCGAGACCGGTCATTAGACGTTTCTGTGGTTCTGGCCAAAATAAAAAATTGAGAATTCAGACTTAAGTATTATCAATTACGTTCTCTTCGTCTAAAATATTTTCAGATTTCTAGCACTTCCGGTTATACCGGAAGTCGCNAAACAGTTCCCGTGCGGTTATTATAAACATTTCGAAAAAATTTTATTAGAAAGATCGCTTCAGAATAATGTATTCTACAACCGTATAATGCTCTGGTGCGGAAGATACGGGACACGCTGTAGAGCAAAGGGTAATAGTAGCAACTTATAAAACATTAAAATGTAATTTAATAAGTTCATATTTTGTATGCCTTAGAAAATCGATTATGCCACTTTGACTGAAAGAGGTGAAATAATTCTAAAAAATAATCATAATTATATGTATCAAGTCCAGGGGCAACTTCGTTTAAGTGGACTTAAAAATTAAAATTACTTTAAAAATATACTTAATACAGCAACTTCTTGTGGAGGAGAAATATAAGGAATTGGAGTAAAGAAGTAGATCTGAAATCTATGGACCTCTCCAAATTTCAATTTTTAAAAGGATATACCAAACACGGAGGTGCTGAGAGATACTGGGAACCGACGGCTAGAGTTAGTGTAGGGAAAGCGATGAGAGAAGCGTTTTGGACAAAGGGGGTTGAGATAGGGGTGTCCACTGAGCCCCAGCCTTTCTGCGCTGTATACGGCGGGTTTGGAAGGCAAGAGCAAGTTACAAGAGCAGTTGAATATGAAGAACTGATTGATAGAATACGATAGGGATAGGGACGTCTAGAGAAAGGAAAGAAGGACGCAGATAAGAGAGGGAAGGTACAATGAAAGATATGGGGACAAAATTACGGAAGGGCTTCCAAAATACTTGGGGAAGAAGGGGAGTGAGGAAGGGAAGAAGTTGGTGGCCAGATTTCAGTGTGGTAATGAGGAGAGAGCGAACAGGTACTGGGCGGATAATGTGAAGAGGTGGTATCGGGTGTGCGGAGAGGATTGGGAGACGCTGGAACACATGCTGAGAGGGTGTAGTGAGAGAAGGGAGGAGGCGATGGACAGGAAGCAGACTTTTGGGAGAGGGGTGTGAGAGCAAAAGATAGATGAGGGAGGTGATTGGGACGAGGAGTCGAGGATGTGGAGATGGCAATATTGTTAAGAATAAAATTTGCCACAAGTTTTGTTCTAAAAACTTTTTTTATAACATGCTCCAAATCCCAAGTGTTACCATTAACAACTTGTAAAACTAGGAATTCATCAAATTTTCACGTTTTCGTATTTTTCTCGTTATTGACGCATCTGAGAGCAAAAGTGGAAGAGAACAATATTGTTAAGAATAAAATTTTCTACAATTATTGTTGAAAAAGATTTTTTATAACATGCTCCGATTCCCGAGTGTTACCATTAACAATTGTAACTTTCCGTTGCATTTACTTACTTTTTTATTTTTATTTATTTATTTATTGATGACATTTACAGAAATACAAATAAAGCAAAGTAAATAAGAGAAGAAAAAAAGAAAAAACAGGCCACTCCTTAATGTCGTATAGGGTTTATTTTACTGCGTAAATCTTAATTTACATCTAATTAATGGTTTTCTTCAAAATATTGTTCAAAAGTGTAACAGTTTATGATATTATTCTTAAGGAAAGGGGTTATCCATCATACCCCGTAACTTTGCAGGGGATGGTCAAAGGCAAATAAAAAAAAACGTCATTAATATTTTTAAACAGGGTAGTTTTTAAAATATTCCAAAAACTAGGGGTAGTTTACCCCCTGAAGCCCTCAGATATATGTGTGATATATCAATGGAAAGCTCTTTGAAAATGAATATCAGTTTACATTTACCACATTTCGATAGCCATTTTCGTCTTCAGGCTATAAGCGAATATATATCTTTCGCCCCGATTTGCAACCCTTATAAAAAAATACGTAAACCTTATTTTTGGCCATACTATCGCTGTACCAAATTAAACAAAATCGGTGAGGGACAGTTCTGATACTTCCCTTGTTAGTACCAGAAAAACAAAAAACTGGGTCGCACGCAATTTTTAAAACTGCACATCGCCATGCAAACTTTATACATAGAGATTTACACAAATAAAGGACTTTAATAGACGTTTAATGCTATCTTCAATAAATATGACCTCTAACATTCAAAATAATTATCGCTATCTGTTGGGTTAAATTTGATAATTTCGCTTCAAAACCGAAACAATGAAGACGTTTGTTATTTTAACCGTATTATTTTCTTATTTAATTGTAAGTTAACAAAAAAATCTTTTAATATGTATTAAATAATCGATTTCTTTAAGAATTCATCATCATCTCAACTCCTTGGTGAGCAACAAATGTCCTCAGCTCATTATTTGTGTGCTTTAAGTTCTGACGCAGCGGTTCTGAATGAAATTACGAAAGCTTTGGAGGGGAAACCGATTGAATCGACTAACTTTCGCCAATATCTAACGTGTTTCTTCCAAAAAATGAATTTCTCCGACATCAACAACCAGTTAAA